AAATTTTATGTTCAATAGCTTGCCTTGTTTTCTGAACGATCAGTACCAATGTCGAAAACAACACAGGACGTTCTACTGCCAAATTTCCTGCAGCTAGGATCGAACCTGTCACTCCTGTATTACGAAGCATGTTCGCAACGCCTAAGCCACAGACATTTTTATGTAAGACATGGAATAAATGTTAAATGCATTTAAAAAAATAACTGCCAAAGGAAACTGAAAAAAATTAAATTGGATGAAATCCAGCAAAGTGAAGAAATAAGAGCAATGTCTGGACAACTGCTTGTATCATCAGTTATCAGGCAAAGATACTAGCAAAGATACTAGCAAAGATACTAGCAAAGATACTAGTAATATATATGGCACACCATGAGCAGAAAATGACAAAGAATTAGCAAATGGGCACTGAAATAGAAAATAAATGGTTTGAAGAAATAAAGAAATCCAAGAAAAAACGAAGATGAATGTTGCTGAGAGAGACCAAAGGTGCTGGACTGGATTCCATTCATGATACTGACAGAACTGCCAAAAAAGAATGGAATGAAGGACTAGATTGTGAGCTCTGTGAGACAGATAACAGCACAATAGCATGGTGATGATGACGATGATATAAATTATAAATTATTACAACATAAACTATTTCTGGGATGTTCACTGAGAGGAAAGAAAAAGACATGCATAGATACAACTAAACATTCTGACTTAAGTTCATCAAAGTAAAAAAAAAAAAAACGAATCCTAAAACAAAATAATAAATAAGTTATAATGCAGAGCTAGCTGAAACTTGTTGTACACTAAACAATGGATACCTCCTTCTGCTTATAACCCTCTTACCACCCCCACCCCCCCCCCCCCCCCCCCAACCGAGTCCTTTAAAAAAAAAAAATATATATATATATCAGTTTGTCGGCTCTGTGGCTAAGTCGATGCGAACACTTCATAATGCCAGGTGGCCGGGTTCGATCCCAGCTGCGGGCCATGCACCTTGTGTTGGTTTCGACAGTGGTATCAAAGAAGCCGACCATCCAGAAAGCAATGGCAAACTACTGGACATAAATTTGCCTAGAAAAACTACACAACAGCCAGGGGTTGTTGGGGTTGGTTCTGCAACGTCTTGTAAAGGATGCGCAACTAACCTAATATCAGTTTACCTATTTTGTGACCCTGTGACCTTCATCACTGAAGCTTAGACATTTTTTAATGTCAGCTTGCCTTTAATAAGACCACTGGATAGGAATGACCCTCCCCCCCCCTTCCCCCATGCCATTCTTTAGTTAATGTATTCTTATTTTGACCACCTAACTCCCAGAGCAAGAAAACAGCCAATAGCATTAACTACGCATTCCCTAATCAGGTCACTATAGGCAAGTCAGAAAACTGATATTTACAGAGAATTGGCCCCCAACCGGAAGTGTAGGTTTTGTGGCTTTTCAGAGCAAAAAGGTGTCACTCTTTCAATAACAACCAACTCTGTTGGTTCTGCCTACACTTTACAGGGTTTCTCAACTCTTCATGCTACATCCAGTTGTTGCGCTACCCCCCTCCCCCATGCCATTCTTTAGTTAATGTATTCTTATTTTGACCACCTAACTCTCTGAGCAAGAAAACAGCCAATAGCATTAACTACGCATTCCCTAATCAGGTCACTATAGGCAAGTCAGAAAACTGATATTTACAGAGAATTGGCCCCCAACCGGAAGTGTAGGTTTTGTGGCTTTTCAGAGCAAAAAGGTGTCACTCTTTCAATAACAACCAACTCTGTTGGTTCTGCCTACACTTTACAGGGTTTCTCAACTCTTCATGCCACATCCAGTTGTTGCGCTACCCCCCTCCCCCATGCCATTCTTTAGTTAATGTATTCTTATTTTGACCACCTAACTCTCTAAGCAAGAAAACAGCCAATAGCATTAACTACGCATTCCCTAATCAGGTCACTATAGGCAAGTCAGAAAACTGATATTTACAGAGAATTGGCCCCCAACCGGAAGTGTAGGTTTTGTGGCTTTTCAGAGCAAAAAGGTGTCACTCTTTCAATAACAACCAACTCTGTTGGTTCTGCCTACACTTTACAGGGTTTCTCAACTCTTCATGCCACATCCAGTTGTTGCGCTACCCCATTTTGAAGCAAACACCTTCAGCAACTCCCACTAATCTGTCCTATATTCTTTCATTTCCTGCAACCCCATCCTCATTTTTTACACATCTGTCTCTAGTTCTAGTTCCAATATTCTAGGTGTCAATTTAAAGAGACTTGTTTTGTGAAATGAGTTTGGTCAGTGCTCCAGTTCTTTTGGCTTCCTTTGTATGGCTTAACTAAGTCAGTGCTCCACAGTTCTTTTGGCTTTCTCTGTATGACTTAACTAGGTCAGTGCTCCACAGTTCTTTTGGGTTTCACTGTATGGCTTAACTAGGTCAGTGCTCTAGTTCTTTTGGCTATCTCTGTATGGCTTAACTAGGTCAATGCTCCACAGTTCTTTTGGCTTTCTCTTTATGGCTTAACTAGGTCAGTGTTCCACAGTTCTTGTGGCTTTCTCTTTATGGCTTAACTAGGTCAGTGCTCCACAGTTCTTTTGGCTTTCTCTGTATGGCTTAACTAGGTCAGTGCTCCACAGTTCTTTTGGCTTTCTCTTTATGGCTTAACTAGGTCAGTGCTCCACAGTTCTTTTGGCTTTCTCTGTATGGCTTAACTAGGTCAGTGCTCCACAGTTCTTTTGGCTTTCTCTGTATGGCTTAACTAGGTCAGTGCTCCACAGTTCTTTTGGCTTTCTCTGTATGGCTTAACTAGGTCAGTGCTCCACAGTTCTTTTGGCTTTCTCTGTATGGCTTAACAAGGTCAGTGCTCCACAGTTCTTGTGGCTTTCTCTGTATGACTTAACTAGGTCAGTGATCCAGTTCTTGTGGCTTTCTCTGTATGGCTTCTTTCTTCTAGTAAAACAGCCTCCTTGTATCTTGACTGGTTGATTTATTATTTTTTCCTCTTTAGCTTGTTTATCTTGGATGGACACAACAGGTAAAGTCTTATATGGCTTGGGTTAGCCCTCCTACTGTGGATACCTTTTAAGACATGCATAATAGATGAAGTGTTACTACTCCTTACTTCCTTAAACTCTTTCAGACTCAGGTAATGTTACTACACGATTGGATCACAACCAGCTGTATTGTATTAATGATCTTCCAACATCAGACCCCTGGTCCATGTAGATCCACAGTTCCAAAATGTTGGCCCCTGAGTAGACTTAGTTGAAAAACCCTGATCTAGATAACATCATATGAAGAAATGTTTAACAAGAGACCATTTATACTTACACAGTGCCACCGTAAATCCCAGAATGCAGATCCTGTTTGGCACACTCAACCTCCACAAAGAAGTAACAGATACCCCTGAAATAGTGTTAGAATAAGATAATTAATGTGACAGACAGTCCAAAAGATTTATTCTCTTGACTAGGCTAAAGGTAAATATCGCTGTTTTGTTTTTCTTTTTCAGTTTCAGCTCCTGACTTTAAAGGAGAGATACTGAATACAAAAGACTATAGAAATCCCTTTTTGATTTCCATGTCCCATTTTAGGGGGTGAAAGAGCAGACGCACTGTTCCCATAACAACCATGTTGTAAAAGATGTGTTGTGTCGAAAGGTGCACTTATTGCAGGTTAACATGTGCTGACTGCCCTTTAATGGCAAATGCGGAAGATGACTGTAAATGTGACAAAAGCAGGTTGAGATCCTGTAGAGAAATTATGAATATAAACTATATAAAAAAAATACCTGAGAAAGATGATAGACCATCACTTTGTTGAAATACTGAAATAAATGACTTTCTGGTCCATATTTTGAGTCTGTATTTGCCTTATATAAAAAATCTAAACTTACTCTGTTTAGTTATACATATAATCACGCACATAATAATAAGAGCTCAGGAAAACAGAGAAACTAATATATAATTATGGGCAGTAATATTTCAATGCCTCTCCACAATCTGCAATCTCCAACAATATTCATCAGCTCATTTAACCACACCCTCCATGTTATGTCAGGAATCTTTTTGCTTAGTCTTCTTCTCTCTCTCTTTCTTTCCCTAAAACATTCCAGTTTCCCTTGTCTGATAACATGGCCCCCAAAAATTATGACTTGTCTAATAACATGGCCCCCAAAAATTATGACTGTCTCATTCTGATGTTTGTGAAAAGTTATCTCCAGGCTTCTGCCTCTTTCAAAATATCTGTGTTACTCTTTTTGGCTTTCTCATATACATCTTCACTGAATGAAGTTTGTATGTTATGTTACTTTTATCTGCACACTCTTAGCACAAACTGCATGATTACACAGAACATAACAAACCAAGTCACCAACACACTGGACACTGCAGACACCACAAACACTCATATAAACTAGACCTGACCCAGACAGCTCTCTGTCAGTGTAAATAAACACCACAGTATGTCCTGCCAGACTGTCCTTTCCTAGAGAATCTGCAAAACATATTTGACCACCTCTGCAGACCTGAGAACTAAGCTTAGGGCAACCTAAGAGATGTCAAGCTGAACTCCTAGTTTATGGCCCATAGTGGATTGCTAAAAAAGGTTGTAAGAAAACTCCAAATGACCATTAAAGGCAATACACATATCACTGCCTGCTTGCTGGGCCGGTCAATGCCTTGAGAGCAGATACAACCATGAAATTACAACAACATATTACATCTATGAATGAAGAATGTAGAAGAAATAATATAAGAATCAACACTGAAAAGACAGAAAGAAACAGGACCTTATCATAACAGTAAAGGCATTAAACAGGCATCCGAGTTTCAATATCTCTGAACAACATTCACTGAAGACAGGAATTTGGATGAAGAAATTAACATCAGATGCAATAAAGTAAACCAAGTATTGGGACAGCTAGTTTTATAAATTTTACTATAAATTTTGAAGAAGACAAAAAATCATCTCAAAACAGTTGAATCCAAGATTTGGCAAGCATCTAGCCACAAGTTTGCACAACTTCCCAGGGAATTATGGAACTAGCCTTAAATCATCATAGATCAATCATGCTGACCATCTTTACTTCCGAGGACATTTGCTGGTTCCCAGCTGGTGTTGGATTCACCTGGAAGCCCTAGTCAGTCACTGTACTGCTCTTACAGAATAAGACATGAAAACATCTCATACAATGCATATTAATTCCCAATCTATGCTATCAGTGCCAGACACTGTCACTCCCAACAAACAAGAAAAGAAAATTAGTTGAATTAATCGTCAGAGAAGGGCTGCAGGAGTGACCAAAAGAGATAAAATCAGGAATACGGTCATATGAGGAAAAATTTAGCACAAAAGCAATTGTAAATTACATACACAGACAGCAATCAAATGGTTTACTCAGAGAGAATGTCTTGTGGCACCATACCATAAAAGGCATACACCAAAAGAGTAGAAGAGCACAGAGCATGAGGTAGGTCAAGAACAAGATAGAAAGATAACATCAGAGAAACTCTACAACAGCATGATGTGTCTATGCTCCAGAGCAAAGAGAAGAACCGTATAGAGCACAGAGCATGAGGTAGGTCAAGAACAAGATAGAAAGATAACATCAGAGAAACTCTACAACAGCATAATGTATCTATGCTCCAGAGCAAAGAGAAGAACCGTATACCTCACTCAACACCCGAAGCAGCAAAAAGAGAAAGTGAAGGAGAAGAGAGAAGAGAAGAAACATATCAACAAGGCCAACTCACCGAAGACCGTATGTAATGCAAGGTTTCTTCTTTCCCAGCCAGTAGTTGTCAGAGATGCACACAAAGTCCACACCCTGTAGAAGCATAGCAGTACAAGTAGCTTCACTCTTTGGGTACCAAGCAATGCTTTACCAAGAAACTTTTCTCTACATATAGTAAACATACCTGGTAAGCATTCTCGGTTGACATGGAAGTCAAGATAAGTTTTGGAGAAAGAAAAACAATGATCTCAAAACTGAGTCGAATCAAAGACCTTTGGGCTGCCAGACAAGCATCTAGCCACAAGCTACAGTGACTTCCCGGGGATTTGGGAACTAGCCTTAAATCGTCATAAAGTGATCAGCACTTGTCGGGTTATGTGGTCAGTGTCATGCTGACCATCTTTACTCCTGAAGACATTTGCTGGTCCCTAGTTAATGTTGGATCCACCAGCAAGTCCTAGTCAGTCAATGTAATGCCCTAGTTCACTTTTTCTAATGTTTTACAATTGATACTTTGGTGCTGTTGCTTTGGAAGATAATAAAACCTTAGTTCACCACCAACATGTAGCAAGTCTTTAGCAGGATGCTGCCACACAGGGACCACTTAAAAGACCCCCTTATGAAACTAGAATACCATAACATAGGCTCCCCAACTCTTCCACCCACTTCCAAATCTCCACAACGCTGTCACAATTCTAGGCACATGGTTTGATGACAAGCAGACTAAAGATAAAAGTGAAAACTCGCAACATTTGCTTTCATTTTCTATATCCAAATTCACTTCTTTTGGATCATAGGTACAGTTATTGGTAATTGTAGTAAACCTAATGCACATTTACAGACATAAACACGGCTGAGTTTTGCCTTTATCCACTGTTAAATTTGCAGTATTATTTTGCTTCCTGTGCAGACCTTACCACAAGGAACTGCACAGAGCAGCAAATTATGCTCCTTTGCTATGTTTTATCAGCCAGCTAATGTGAGTCTTCATTATATTTCTTACAGGAGTAGAATAATCATCTGCCAGGCAGTCACAGTCTACTAGAGTGTTTCCCAACCTCTTTTTGTGGTGTCATGCCCAATCTAAGCCTTTCTCTGGATGCTTAACCAGCTCAAGTAGCGACTGAGAGTTGCCATACGGTTAACACTCTGGACAAGTCCACTGTGGAACCCCCCCCCCCCCACCCTCCTCAAACACTGGTCTACCATGTCAGAGGGACAGGCTGACCATGCATACCATAGACAGAGGAGATAACAGAGTCACTGGGAAACTCCATTGGGGATGCAAAGAAAAAGGGCACCCTCCAGCAGCATCTTAACACTATTAGGAATCTCCTTCTTCTTAGCATTCACCGGCGTAAACAGTAAAAGGGGGGGGGGCGTTCTGGTTGTTTGTCCACTCCTGGACTTTGGTCTTGATTCATAACTTGAGTTGTTGAAATCTGTTTTATAAATCTGGTTTATCTGTATGCGGACTGTTGGTTCCATGCCTCTCAGGCAGATGCATTCCGACTTTGAAGGAAACATCTCTAATTAGTCACCTTCTACGACAAACTTGTTAGGAGACAGTAGGTTTTTCCCCCTCCAAAATGCAGTCCAAGAACCCACGCAGGAAACTATCAGGAAAAGTTGAGTTGATAAAAGAAAGCAGGTGTTGAAAGATGCTGTTGATTAGGCCAATGCATCTGCTTCTTGGGTCTTCATCAATATATTCTTCTAGTCATAGGCTTAAAGGGTAAGCTTTCTTGGTTTCATTCTCCTTAGATGACTAAATCACTTTGTAAATGTCCCTCCATGTAACAGAAATGCCGGGGTATGTCTTACACATCAATACAGATTGGTGCACTGGTTATATCAGATGCCCGTCTACCCACAGACATAAAGGCTCACCTTCAGAAAGTCATTCTTCCTCCTCTCAATAAGATCATCCAATCCTTCAGAGCCAGACTCCTCCATCCCCTCAAAAATAAACTGGAAAGAAATGAAGAAATACAAAAAGGGAACAATCAACTAAAGTCTGGGTCAATTTACACAGCCGTTTGAGCGCACATGTAGAGAGAGAGAGAGAGAGAGAGAGAGAGAGAGAGAGAGAGAGAGAGAGAGAGAGAGAGAGAGAGAGAGAGAGAGAGCAATATTTTATGGAAACGACTATAAAAAGAGAGATTATGGGGTTAACCCCCTCTCCCTGGCAACACTGAAATTAAAGTAAACAATCTTTAGAAAAATAACAGTTTTGAATAGGTTTAAAAAAATCTAGATTAGTCTGGTAGTCTTAGTTTCAGCTTCATAGCAAACGGGTCGCCCCCTCTTTGCTCCTTCTCCTGTGCCAACGAAAAACACACAGAATGTTTATCACAGATTAGAATTGCAGTTCATCATTGATGGTAGCAGAAGTCGCCAACAGATCAGCAGTTGCCCACGCGATCACTTTTAATCACATACGGTCACCACAACACTGCACGACAGGCATCGCGCCATTTTCTGAATCTACAATTTACACAAGCACGTTGGTCACAGTCAAAAAAACATTCCAAATACAATCGGCAGCTCAGAGGGTCACGACATGATTCAACTCAGAAGCTGGGCGACGAAACTACTAGATTAGTAAATAAAATTTTTATCTACACCCCCCTTCCCCCCCAAAAATTTACAGATAAAATGAAAGGAGAAAGGCAGAGAGACTAGAGAGAGAGAGAGAGAGAAGACATTTTTGCATCAAAACATAGCATATGTTAGCAAATGAGTTCTTATACAGTGCTCCATTCAGAGCTGTGGAGAGGCAAGATCAGTATTTTTTAGCAAGGAACACTGATGATAATAGCAAGGTATTTAATGAATGTGATGATAAAGAAGTTCATGGTGATGTACTGTTCTACAATTCATGCAATGATGATTATGTCACAATACCTGATGATGATGATGAAGTTGGTAGTGGTGATGATGATGGTGTATTTTATGCATTCATGCAATAATGATTGTGGCATGGTACTTGATCACAGTTCAAGATCCTTGCTAAAAATGGTTGCCCACCAATGATACTGTGCCTCATCAAATCTTTCCATAAGAATATGAAAGGAACCATCATATATGAAGATTCCTCATCGTCACCCTTTCATATTGGTAATGGTGTAAAGAAGGGTTGCGTTCTAGCTCCCACATTGTTTGACATCTTCTTTACTGCACTGCTTCAACATGCTTTTGGAAGAGCAACTGCAGGGGTATACTTCCATGCGAGGTCAGATAGCAACCTTTTCCATCTGTCCAGGCTTCACACAAGGACTAAAGTACTTCAGGGACTTTCTATTTGCAGATGATGCAGCCATTACTGCACACATTGAAAATGATCTGCAGATTTCCATGAATCGCTCTGCTAATGCGAGCAAAGAATTTGGACTGATGACTCTCAGTCTCAACAAAACACAAGTGATTGGGATGAATGTGGTAAATCCATGAAGCTTTCCAAACCCACAAGAGTGTGGTCAAACAAGAAGCTTAGGGATAGGACAAATATTAATGTTTATGAAGCTTGCATCCTGAGCACACTCCTTTATGGCAGTGAAATCTGGACTCTGCATGATCTTCAAGAAAAAAGACTGAATACATTCCACACATACTGTATGAGGTGCATTCTTGGTATTTGATGGCGAAAATGTGCCTAATGTATCTGTATACAAAGGAGCAGTGATGCCAACAATGTACTTTCTACTGAAGTAAAGGCGCCTGTCTTGGTTGTGACATGTCTTTCTCATAGAGGTCAGTCAAATCCCAAAGGATCTCCTGTCTGGTGAACTGCTACAAGGATAAGACCTGCAGGAAGGCAAAGCTTTACAAGAAGGACATATGCAAAGACGGACTGTCACAGTCTGAAAGAGGCCAAACGCAGCATGCTATAGACACGAGACGTCTGAGAGAAAAAACAGCTTCAGAATGATAGTGTATCAACGTTTCTATGCGGACTATATGGTAGAGACTGTCACTCTGGCACTGGACTTTACAGTCACAGCGGACACTGCTCCCATAACAGGAGCACAACTGCATGGTCCCCGGGGACCGATGGTTGCCTACTACTTGATGACGATGATGAAGTTGATGATGATGGCAATGGTGACTGTGATGATGATGATAATAGTGCATTTTATTCAGGACAAAGATGCTAACCTTGAAGTTAACAGGGATTTCCAAGTTCAATTCCTGCATAGCCTCTATACAGTTCAGCCATCCAATGACTGGCCCCTAGTTAAAATAAATTAAATTATTACAGGTAACAACATCACAGATATTTCCTCAGCAGTAAGTGTTGCAAGCAGCAGCTGGCCGAATAGTTTAGAGTGTTGAGCTCTCACACAAAAAACCTGGTATAAACGTTTGTAAATTTATGGAGGTTTTTCTGTCAAAGGACAAACATCCTGAACTGAACAGATATTCTAAACAATCTTTCTTTCACAAACAGCCATACAAATCTTATCCTGATAAGTGGAAGTGAATCATGGGCAGCTGGCCAGTTAGTGAGAAATTATATGGAAGTGATGAAGATGTGGGTTTATAGATGGATTATAAGAACACACGGGACAGATAAAAAAAGTTGTGAAAATGTCTTGGAAAAAAACTGATTGACGAAGAGAACTGAGTGGCCACATTTGAAGGAGACAATCTATATTCTTTGGTCATGTCATGTGAAGGAGACAACTGGAGTATACTGTGACGATAGGAAAGAGGGGGAAAGAGGTCAATGGAAAATGACAGATAAAATTCTGGACAGTTTAACCTCATGGTACTGAAAGTCAACTGTGTCAGAACTGACTGAAAGTAGACGAGACAGAAGGTTAGAATATCCTTGACTACCAATCAATGACCATGGACTATATAAAAAGAAGAATGTACACTCTGCGGCAACTGCACTATCCTTACTGTGTTAAAACCTTAGATACAAGACCATGACACCCCCCCCCCCTTACTGCTCTGAGAAATAGTGCACACAGGTGGCAAAAATAACAACAGAAACAATAATATATTTTTTGTTGCTAACACAGACATACAGTAAATTATTCCACACACTGGTACTTGTCTAGATTCTCTCTCTCTCTCTCTCGCTAACACAGATATACAGCAAATTATTACACATACTGGTACTTGTCTAGATTACCCAGTTCCACAACCTTAGAACAATAATTAGATGGCCTAACTTCAAACTAACAGATATAAGACAGTCTGAATAAAGGTCAATGCAGTTTTACAGTGGATCATGTCATTATGGTGTTACATATTAAGACTTTCAAATAATTTGTTGTTGGCACTTTTACATTTTTCCAGATGATAGTATTTTACCATGTTACAGAGAGGAATTGGAATCACAGCCCACAACAGTACCAAATTAAGGCAGGGATAAAGTTTCTCCTCTCCACAGCACAAAACCTGGGCAGTATTGTAGAGACCACATGTTGTCCATGAAGCATGATCCCTCTTTAAACCTGCTTAGTTAATTTCAAAGGAAAAGTAGCAGCAACATGCAGGAAACAAAGCATGTAAGTACAGCTTTCCATTAGATTCTATATCTAATCAAACCTAAAGTATCGGTAAGTCAAACAATACTTGCCTTGTCATCTGTAGATCCTCTTCCATACAACTTTCCATCTTTCTCAGTTAGAACAAATGGCTCTGTGTCCCAACCATCAGACTAAAGAAAAAAAAATCCACACAAGATTAAATTTACTCTAAATGTTCTACATTCCTTAATTATCTAAACTGAACTTTCAGCTCCATTACAAGACATTTACTTAAGATATTTACCGTAGCTCTTAAAAATGGTGTCACTAGATGCTTAACAATATGTTAACAATTGTGTCATTAGATGTTTAACAATCTGTTAAAAATTGTGTGATTAGATGTTTAACAGTTGTACTGTTAATAGCATTCTTCGAAGATGCATAATGCATGCTATGGCTTTCGATGCAATATGCCAGATAGACAAGCGGACTGTTTGTAGCCATGGCAAATTATCTGTTTCTGACTATGGTTAGCTGCTGTATATCCCCCCTCCACATTTGCACTGACAGCATACAGTTCCATCACCCAGCTACTGATATGAGTGCATGGTGCGACACTCTGAGCTGTGGATTTCATTTGAAGTGCTTTTGAATTTGCCCAACATGATTTGTGTTGTGAACTGTAGATTCAGAAAATGGACGAGTGCCCTGGTGCCACAGAACTGGTGGTGACTTATACAATTAACTGTGTGTGCAAATACTGATTTGTTGTAACTGCTGCTTCTCTCTATAATGAACTGCGGTTCCACTGCCAGACTGTTTGTGTTTGCACAGCTGCCTTATGCTTTTAATATGTGTGCAAGCTATTGATGAGTCTGTGTCAGCTATTTCACAAAGGACAGTGAAAGGTATTCTATGTGGTTTTCACTGGCACAGGAGTAGAGCAGTTATGGAGTGACCCATTTGTTGCAGTGTTGGAACTGTGATTACCTGAATGCAAGCTGCACAAACATGTAAAGTTCAAAATGGATAAATAACATGAAAAGTTGAATGTATGTAAATAACTGAAATCTTGCATGAAAATGTGGCCTATTTCTGATCCCTTTGTACAGTTGATGACTCAAATCACAAGAATCAGAGATCAGGTCTATGTTCTGCCTGCCCATGACATCCACTTCTTTATCTCTGTGTCTTCCCCATGCTCTATTTTTATCAAGTTGCATCTAATTTGTCATGACCCCACCACACCATGCCCCGCCCCCGAATTATCATCTATTTTCTATAATAGAGACATACTAGATGAGTATCGTTTATTCTATACATTAGAGTCCTATGTAGTCACTTCATGGTTAGAGCCTATTTGAGTATGTGTACTGTGTTGTCCTTTATGTGCTGATGAAGGCTAATCGCCGCAACGTCCTTTGTTTTTTGTGATCGATTTTGTAAAGCTAACATAAACTAATTGTTGTTTCTTACCAACTTTTCCTCTTCCCTATAATTTTCTACTCCTTATAAAAACTATATTTATGTGAGCACTCTGCAATAACTTTCATGTCTCAAACTTTTCTACAGAACCCCTACTTATCAATGTGTTGTTGTTTTTTTTCAAAATACTGGAGACATGTCTATATAACTATTATACATCACTTGTCAAGTTTCAAACTTACCTATGGGGCCTTTAGTTATCCTTGTTTTTTCCAGCATTGGATCATTTCTATGTGATCACACTGCAATATTTGTTAATGGCTAACACCTCACCTTTTCTGCTGGCTGCACATCCAGATGCCCATAAACCAAGAGTGTCTTCTTTTGTGGATCTTTTCCCAGACTGCCTAGCAGCACTGGGGGAAGTGGAATCTTGGTTCCATCAGGAAGTGTTTGTTCCCCGAGGTCTGCATATTCAAAAGAGCCACCTAGTTTAGACAGCAGCTGTTGATGATTACAAAGGGAGAACCTTATAAATTAACATTAACAACTCATTTATAAACAAAGGCACTATAGGAACATAAGCTACAATAGCATGGTGGCTAATGAGTCTGCATACCTAGATAAAAGGAGCAGCAACAAGGAAAAAAATATTTTGGGCTGGGGTTTCATAACACTTCCGTTTTTATTGTATGGCTATTCGATGGACACCATCATCATGTAGCAGGTCCTTTGCAGTGAGTCGTTCTCAACATGATATGCCACTCAGCTCCCTGTCCAGTTTCCTGCTTTGAGAATTGTCTTGCCCAGTGTGTCCTTGATATCATGTGTCCACCGCAGTGCTAGCTCACCCTTGTCTCTCTTCCAGGAACCAAATCTTCAGGGTATCCCTTACATTTTCATACATATAGGTGAATTAAACATTTTTGTGTGAATAAAAAGCATTTGTATTTATGTAATAAGCTTTAGATGACTACAACTGTTTTGAAAATACATTTTGATGTGTTTCCTTCACTGTTAAAGAACATGTATAAGCACAGCTGGAGTAATGCTTGTAATGGTATTTGTGAAATACATATTTTGTCCATGTATGAAAACTCAGGCACCCTATGTATGCATCTGTTTAGTAAGCAGTGACTGTAGTTAGATTAACATAAATGAATGTATTTTGTAAAACTATGAACATCATTTGTGCTCTTACCGCTCCAGCCCATTCAATCATACGTTTGATTTCTGGCCTCTTCTCCGGCCATGCTGAGACACTTTGGATGGCAACTGCCTCCGCTAACCTTTGGACATAAGCATCTTGCTTTTTATCGATGTGCCTGAGGATAACCAGAATTTTTTTTAACATACGATATAAATATGTATCTAATAAAATATTCACAAACCTCCTGCTTGTTGGTTGGTGAAATTAACAGGATAAAAGTAAATAAACCTACTAGAATTACCACGTGTATATGTGTATAGGCCACAGTATTCTAACCGAAAATCCCTGATAAAAAATGGGGTGTGGTTTATTTTCAAGATATTAGACCTACATGTCCCTGGTATAAAATGTATTAATAAAATGGAGTTTCATCTGCATTTTCAATTGCCTCCAAGCTGCAGTTGTGTGTCTTTGAAATGCAAACAGTTTCTCCTGCAGGTGTCGGCAAGTCACTGAGCCATTGTTGTCTGTAACATTTCCATGGACACAGAAAATCTATAGGCCTGTATTTTGTTTCTCTTTATTTTTTTTGCGGGTGGGAGAGGGCGGTGGGGGTGGACATATTCCAGCAGATTGTTTTCTATGAATGTCAACTTGGAAATAATTTTTCAAGAGCTTCTTTTACTTCAGTCCATTTTTGCACATTTTTCTCGTCCACATCAAACTTCCTCCCAGTTGCTAGCTTTATTTCTTGCGCATAACGCACTACCTGAAACTTAATTTTACAACTGTAACTTGCTCTTACACGGCCCATCTTTAACTGCTTACAGGTACTACTGTTTCAGTTTTGGTCTCTTGACAAAATTCTTAGAATAGGTTCGTGACCCACAAACTGAGAACCACTGTGCTAGACTCATATTTGTATAGACCAGACAGCATTTGGCTGGCAATGTGGTCAACATCCTGCCCGCTGCCTCTACTTTCCCGGCATAGCCTTCGTAGGGTGACCATAACATCTTGAGCTGAAACGAGATATCCACTAATATTCTGAGCTGAAAATGGGACATCCCAAGCAGGTCAGTCAACCCCTCTCCCACAACCTTCACAGAGTACAAGAGTTTAAGTCTTTATTAGAACCAGCCCTTCAGTGACCCTAAGAGTTCAAGCCCAAGTTATAATGCACAAGAGTTAGGCTCCCTATAGGGACTTGCCCCTCACACAGAGCCACTAGTATTTCTTGTAAATCATTCTATACAGATAATAAGACTCATCCATAATCCTATCTATATTATTATATGTATCATTATTCAAATTTTATTTCAGTGAGACATCTATAAGATCCTTCAGATCACAACTGATAAGATGTTATATTTTCAGACTTTCCACACTCAAAATTAGGCTCTCATTTAAATAACGGTCGCTAGCTGGAAGGCGACGGCCACTTAGTCGGAGTTCACTCCCTTGGCTGCAGTTCAAATACGGAGCAGACAAGTCACGAATCAAACAACAAAGTGAGGTCGATATGCCTGCTAGAGCTAGACCACGCACTGCGACTGACAGTAGCGACCGCGGTCATGCGACGCAAGACTCTCGTAGACCACACTAGGGACCGTTTTCTCCTGACTTAGTGACCGTAGATGTGAGACCTGTGGGTCTGTATGTCGTAATGAGAGATAAGCTTCCGTCGTTTCCGTGATGTGTCACCCTAACCCTACCCCAAAACCTAGGATGACAGGTAACTACATCATTTGTTTCATTCCCTCTTTACCACTCCGTATTTGCACTGCAGCCAAAGGAGTGAACTCCGACTAAGCGACCGTCGCCTTCCAGCTAGCGACCGTTATTTAAAGGAGAGCCAAAAATTCTATCTTATTTAGATCACTTCCATTACTAAGTCTCTCTTCAAGTACAGTAGTAATAGTTATTTTTCAAAAATATCCTGTTCAACCCTCAGGGTTATATTTAGGATACATACAAATATATATATATATATATATATATATATATATGTGTGTGTGTGTGTGTGTGTCTGTGTAGTACATGCAAGTGTATGTTCTGTTCTCCAGCTTATTCCTAGATTTTTCATAAAACTGGACAATCAGCGCTTTCGGTGAAAACAGGTCATATATATGATCGACCTTCACCACATCCTGTTCCAACTATATTTATATTTACTTTTCTCTACAAAATCGAGTGGCATAGGAAAAGAGGAAGTAAGTAATCGCATTTCCACTGACTTTAGTGTTACAAAATACTTGTACATTTTTTTTTCAGAAACAAAAATATGTAAAGCCTATATTTAAATGGATGGTAACTTGTCACCTTCATCCACTTTTTCGCCTTTCATCATCATCACTGTGCTGTTGTGCCATGACATATTACATAGGGTTAGCAGTCTCAGTCTGTTCCTCCCCTCCACTCTGTTTTTGTGCAAGAATCACCTTATGGAAGGAATCCAGCCAACTAGTCCCAGCAAGTTTGGCTTCTCTAATCATCAACGCTCGGCTTTGTGTTTCTCCTGGGCATCCTCGTCTTCTCAATACCTCTATATACTATGTATATGAGTATATATGATATAGTTTCAGATTCATCATTCGTCGTCCATTCACTATCTTTAACACTTTAACAGTTCGCCGCGTCATGTTCTATTGTTTGCGTGGATTCGCACAAAGTTGTTAACAAGTTTAGTAACAAAGCACTTACTCAAATATACGTTCCATGTCTGTTCCGGTGAAACTACAGCAGCAACAGTAAAGCCTCTATCTAGAAAGAAACAAAACGTCTTCTAAACAAATCTCAAGCTGTCCTAAGCTACAAGCCGCCTTACTTCAGCACAACGTTACAGTTAACTGAATTTATTGCTGGCTGGCTGCTTCAAGCCGCAGCTCACGTGTCTGTCATGTGACCTGTTCATGTGACAATCTGCTATGGTTATAGGAAAATATAGGGGTGACAGCAGTCAAGCCAACGCATTTTCTAGAAATGAATAGTTCCAGAAGGTCGTGAGTCAAGTTAATACTACAGAATTCTAGGAAATTTGACTAAATAGCTTAACAAATCGGGGAAGCAGAAAACAGCGTTTCGGCTTAACGAAACGGGTTTTTTGTGCACGTTTTTCTGTGCACATTTCACTGGAATTTTTGTGTGATAACATGATGATGTATAAGCGTTTATGATGAAACTGACCATTGTCCATGTAATAGTGCTTTCCGTCTCAAAGTGGGACACCATTTTTTTTAAAGCCCCAAACGAGCTGTAGTCTAGGTCCTAATATAACCTTACTGTTGAATGGGGTTTGAAGGGGGTTTATATGACTTGTGCATGGGTGATCCTCATGCGAATGGTGACACTTTGTGTCACCGGCTGTTGGTCACTGATTGCGCGGTCCTGGTGGGGTTGAACGACACAAACACACACACACACGTTTACCACGCCCACACCCGCATACAACTGCAGGTTACACCTGACTAATGTAGCTGTTGCAGTAATTATATTTGTGTAAGTTCGAAAGGGCTACCTGGGTCTGCCTTGTTGCTCTGCCGTACAGACTGAGGTTTTGTTATGAATCTCATAATATTATGGGAAACCATTAGGTAGCAACTCGGAGGTGATAAAAAGATCCATCTATAGATGGGGGAGTCGCCGTGACGAAGCGGCTAAAGGTTCGCCGCGGATAGAAAGGTCGTGGGTTCGCTCACTGGTGGAGCCGGACTTTTTTTTCCAAATATGACCTTGGCTTCCAGGTTGACCCAGCCTTGTGCAGTCCCGGGAAGTAAAGGCGTGATGATTGTGCCTATTGGTCTATAAAATGTAGGCCCTATATGCCCTATACGCCTAAAGGCTTGGAAAAGGGTCCTTCTCTTTTATTTTATTTTTTTATCGATCAGTGGTACATGATGAGTATTTTATGTTCTTGATGGGAGATGTTAAGGTGTAGCTCATTTGTGAAACATGAGGGTTGTGGTGAATCGTACTAGTACACCACAGATAAGTCATAAATGTGCACTTAATTATTACTCCACGCGCACTTTGTACCTGAGAGCATTTTTTTAACCTCCCATTTCTAACAACTTTTATTTTGAATAAATTTACCCACGGGAAATGCTTCAAAAGAATTTCACGCTTCTGTTTAATTAAACAATGTAATTTTAAACGAAGTCGCGTGTGGTATTTAAATCTAATCAGGGTGCCTTTGAAAATTACTCCACTCACCACGCGTGCCTAAGGTTGCAGACTTCTACTCTGGATATCATATAAAGATTAGTGATTAGTAAGGATTATCATCACAGCACTCTGGACAGATCCACAGGAGCTCCGATCTCCCCCTCAATAATTTCACAAATGGCTTGTCCCCTTGGTGAAACGTTTATTTCTTTCAGCTCCAGGCTGCATCCCCATGTCTATCAGCCTAGACAGGGATAGGTAGTCATGCCCTTTGGCGTGCTGGTCGTCACGGTAAGTGGTGCGCATGATATTGATAACATCGCTTCTGTCCAGTACTGGACCAGCCATAGCAACCGCAGTGTCAGTAAGATAATCTGCACGCTTGCTCCCTTAAACACCTACATGCCCTACCATAAATATGAAGGCTAGAGCAGCCATTCCTTAAGTGCTTAGTGTTGCAATCCATTTTTGCTTGATAAAACCAGCTTGCATTTTTTATGCATATTAATCAAGTCACTAAGTATGCACACGTGTGTGAACTCTTGAGTACCAAGCCATGCAAATGCCATTGCTACAACTATAGTTTCCATTGTAAGGCTACTCATGTAACAGCATACGTGCCATTTATCTCCTTGTTAGTTTTCCCCTTTGAGTTTACTGAGAATGCCCATGCCCTTCGCTTGCTCCTAATTGCTGACCTATCTGTGTAAACTATAGCATCAACTTCATCTGTGTTCTGCCTAAAGTGTCCATAATGCCAGGAATCTGCTCTTTACAGCTCCCATCAAGCGTGATATGGACTGTAATGTTAATATTTGGAGCAGGAGGCATGGGTATCAATTACAAAATGAATGTCAGTAAGGCAGAAAACATGTCTGATGGCCTCCTCAGCCCGACCCAACCCGGATTTGCCTCGTTTGTCTATTCTTTTTTCTTGAATAATTCCTCATGAAGGGGGTGTTGGGGATTTGACTTCACTTTGAGGAGAGCAACGGCTCTGGACAGCTTGATTCGTTTTTTCATTGTGGGGAAATCCAAGAGGTATCGCATGGATTTACAGGAAGTGTCTCTAGTACATTCAAGAATGATTCGCATTGCTCAATTTGCAATGTTTTTTCCAAGCTTTTCATCTAGTTGGTGCTGAGTGTCATGGTGACCAGAGCATATTCAGTGGTGAAGCTCATATAATGATTGTATAATCATATAAAGATTTTAACACTTAAATGAACTTTAGACCTGTATTCGGCTTTCCGCCAGATTTATGAAATATCGATCCAAAGCTCTTGACTATTCATTAAGGAGTTGATTTTTTCTCTTATCTTGTAAGTGAATGACAACCACCGCGTTGTATACAGGCATGAAGTAGCCAAACATGGCAAAATCGATTTTTTAATATCCAGACATGCTTGTCTCGGCATATTACTACTATTTTGTTATTGAAAGCTTGTTCAATACCACGTAACACAATAAATTCAGTGGATTCTATTTATATGGTTCACATTTCTTTACTATTTCTGTTCAATGGGTCTGTTGTATTAACTAATTCAGTTTAAATTATTTATGTAATTACTTCTGACCCAGTGTTAATTTTCTGTGATCTATTAGACAAAAAAAAAAATTGTATCTAAAGCTAAAAACTGTAGGAAAAACAGTGTTAAATTAAGACCTGTCTGGGACTGAAGGAATAAACATTTAGGAAATTCAAAACAATATTGAAGTATCGTTGTTGTGTAACTACACTTCTTCTTTTTCTTCTTAACGTTCGTCAGCTGTAAACTCCAGCACAATTTTCTGGTTGTTCGTTAACTTCTGGACTTTGGTCTTGTTCCAGAACTGGAGTGCTGTATACACATTCGTTTTACAGATCTGGCTTATTTATGTGCAGATTGTTGGTTTGTTATCTCCAAGACAGATGCATTCTGACTTCGAAGAAAACTTCCCTAAAAAGTCACTTTTTACAAAATAATTGTCAGTGGGCAGTGTGTCCATACTCCCCCCCCCCCAACTTTCTTCCAGAATATAGCTCCGGAATCCACACGTGTTGAAAATAAACTTTATTAAGTAATCTAAATGGCGTGCATATTGGTTCTGTGATAATAAGGTTGAATCCAAAAGGCTGAATACAACATTACGCGGATTCGCCTGGCTTTGTAACATCCTTACATTACTCTTTGCGTTTGTTATATGTTCTCTAGATCGATCGATCAGTTTGTCTTCTCCGGGTTGCTACTTAAACGTTTACCATACCACCATGAAATCCCAGTCTGGACAGTAGCCCACAAGGCAGATCCCAGATACCCCGTTGCATCTTCAAAGAAGTTATAATTATCCACCCGTACAATGCTAGAGAAACTACACAACAGCCAGGGGCTGCTGGGGTTGGTTCTGCAACGTCATGTAAAGGATACGCAACTAATCTCTAACAATGCTACACCCGCCTGGTGTAACCTGCAGTCATATGCGGCTAAGTACTGTAAGTAGGTTTATAGCCTTCAGTTTATGGTGTCTAGTGCAGCATCTTAATAACTTTTCGTAGTGCTGACACACTTATTTAACGAATTTAATTTCGCGACACAGTAATTCAGTCTACTAGCAAATCAAAGGTTAAAGTAACAGCTTATTGAAAGAGATGCTGACGCTACATAAATTACATTCGTGCGACAAATCTTTACACTGGGGCCGACACACTAATGTGTCGCTACACACTAATATGTCGCTATAGACTAATGTGTCACGGCACAGCCTGGCAAGTTCTGTTCTAGGGTGTTCTCAGAGCTGCGGTGATATACCAGTTAAGTGCACTTGTCCGACACGCAGGGCGGGATTTGGGTATGAATATATTTTCATTTTCACAGCTATGGAAAATAACACCAGAATCGCACAAATAGCGATAAACACCTGGTGACGCAAAGTGCCACTATTCGGATGAGTTCCCCCCGGTACAAGTCCCAGAAACCCAGTTCAACCTTCAGGTTATATTATGACCCCCTACTACAGCCGGGTGGGGTTTTAAAATCACCACCCACCTTCCTCAACACATCCCCAAAAAGATTACATCCTATATTGTTACGATACACTATATAACATATCTTCACTTAGCATCGTATGTATAGAAAGCAACATGCTAAGCGGCATATCTTTTGATTAAAAAAAAAAAGTTAGTTGCGTATTCTTTACAGGACTTTAAAAAAACAATCCCAGGAATTTTTTGTCTGTTGTGGTTTTTCCAGGCAAATTTACGTCCAATAGTTTGCCATTGCTTCCTGGACGGTCGGCTTCCCGATACCACTGTCGAAACCAACGCAAGGCGCAAGGCCTGCAGCTGTGATCAAACCCAACACCCCGGAATTACGAAGCTCGTTCGCACCGCCTAAGCCACAGTTATTCTGTGTTTCGAAAATCAAGAGAGAAAAAAAAGGTTTTTATGGGGTTAAATTGCTCTGATTTTGCACTCTTTATTATTTCTTGTAATAAACATTAAATGACACAATATTTCTATTATTCGTAAAGTTTTCTGAGATTAGCTGACGTAATTTACAACGGTAGGGACAGAAGT